GTTGAGTTGTTGCAACTTAAATGCTATTGGGGCAGTGTGCGAGATGGACCTGAGACTGTGCCCACTCAAACAAACACAGACTAGTAAATGAGTGTGGTGCGGAAGGAAAATAGAAGTTGAAATGCCTAATGAACAATTTGGGCTATGCTGTGGAACTGCCACCTTCACGACCCTGACAACTCTCCTGATCTCTGTCGCATTGAGTTTCTTACCACAGTTTTCCTCTTCCTATTATTCGACCCTTCCAGTGCATAAAACTTGGTACATTTTATCATGGTAGACATCGTTAAACTTTTAAATATGACGGCAATTGGGAAAAAACTTCCCCTTCCCTAATAAAAGTTATAGTTAATGTAATGTAAAGCCTTCTTTATCTGCTGTGGATCCAACGGTGCCTGCTCAATTACACCGCATCATTGATAATGATTAGGATTTCACTTGAGAGCCTAGAATGTGGATTAGATTCTAGTCAGTGGCTTTACACCTACGCAGTGGCACACAGCAGCTGGGTACAATTTGGCGTTGGAGCACTTCAAAAGCAACAGCATGCCGCAACGCCTTGCGGTGTGCGTAGAATGTTAATCAAAACCATTAGGTGTGGCCTTACCGTCATCGTGGTGACGCAGCGAGAGCTGTGGGCGTTGTGAAGAGCCTGCGGCGACGAGTTCATGGGCGGTACAAGGGTGTACCTACATTAATCACATCATCTCATCATCATTCACGCTGAGGAATATCTTTACCTTTCTTTGATATGGAGGCCCTCAAATTTCCTAAAAGCAAGTTCAATACCTTCTAGGTTCCCTTGCATTGATGCGTCACTTCATCAACTTCGTCATGAGAAACAAATTTCTTGACCTTCGAGAATCATTCCACAACAATGTAAGCGTTGATAGGTGAGTAATAGGTTGCATTCAGACTATTACTTTCTGCTGCTAATTCCCCAAATGATGAACTCCACATGGCGAAACCCCTTTCCTCAGTTCTAAATCTTTGCTGAAGCTGTAGTGAATGTTGAGAAAGAATTGATAACAACAAAGAATATGAAATTATTTGGGGATGGGGGCTAACTCGAACCTTGCTTAAGCAACGTTTAGATGAACATGAATTCTCCAGTGCTGTGAAGTTGGTGACTTGTGCAATCAGGGCAAAGACAAAGTCAAAGAGAGAATTCGATTTGAAGGGTATCAGCTGATTGAATGGAGGCTAAAAAAACTGCCAATTTGACGAGAAGGTAAGAGGAGATGTGAGCAGCATGAGTTATGACGACCTCGCGCCATGCACCATGAAAACGCGGATCCACCTGATAGAGGCGCCGTCACAATGATCACAGCGGATTCGCCAGTCACTTTAGAGCAAATGCAGAAAAGTGACCAACAATGGTGCGGCGTCTGGTTGGTTACGCTGCATAAAAATTCCTTCACACGGACAATGTCGCGACACAATGTAACTCTCGTCAAAGACAGGCGTCTGGCACTCCCAGTAGATATGCAACAAGCTTCATTTTCTTTACTCTTTCATGCTCCTGGAGGTAGCAATCACCAAATTCATCGTTGTTGCACAAGGTTTCACTGCTTCCCTTTCGTAATCCCCATATCCAAATCGGATGCAAATCAGCCAATTTATCCAAGCCCTCCTCCACATGCACTTCAAATGCTCTTCCCTTAGGTAAATTTTTAAATTGTGTGCCACGTTTGCTTATTACTGACCACATGCTTAAAGCTCTCGAAGAGTCACAAAAAGGCAAAGAATGTGAGAAGGGAAGTTTGGAGGTAGTGGGCACTTAGTCTGGTTGGGGTGAGTTAAAAAAGCTGACACATGTAGGTAAAATTGGAGTGAATTAAAACGAAGGCATTTGTATGCATACAATCACCACCACATCTGCTGCTCTAGAAGATGCCTCACCTCCACTTTGATTGCCACCATTCAAACCGCCTAGTGTTGCACAAAAGAATTTCTTAGGTGTCTAGAGAGCATTGGAAATGCACCTTGGCTCGTCTGCCCTCTTACTTGTGGCCATGACCTTGGACGCAGAAAAGCATTGGTTGCAATCAATTATGTTGCTCTTTGACGGTCACAGGATGTAGGTACTAGGATGGTGGGTTAAAAGTGAGAAGCAAATCAACCACGTGGGTGGATGGGTGGTGTTGGTGAGTGGGTGGGTGGTGTTGGTGTTTGAAGT